TGCAGTGTTTCACCTCTTTTGCATCTCTATGTCCCTGGTGAGCAGCAGTAGCCATACCAGCACCTCTTCCATGTAATACTCTGAACCTGTCTGTCTGAATAATGTTTTGTGCCTTGTTATTCTTGTGACTGATTTGGAGAGGAGTGCAATGAAAGGATTTCTATCCCTCGGTCTTTCTAAACTTAACGCTGCAAATGGATTCCAGAAATTCCCAGGACAAAAGTAAACAGCCTTGTAATGCAGAATATTGCTGCCTTGTAGAATCATCCATTTCCTAGCTTGATGCCTTCATTTTACTGAGTCAGATTTTCAAGGTACCAAGCATATGCTGCAGTTGCTGTTTCATCATGCAAGTGAAATTCAGCACATGAAGCCAAATTTCCTTTGAAAAGATTTTAGCATAAACTGTAGGTAGGAATTGTTTATTGAAATCTCTTGCTCCTCAGTGCTGTATCAATTGAGATGAAAAGAAGGAAACTGTTAAAGAAAATTTAACCTGCAGAATTCTAAACCTTAAGTGTTAAGTATCCTTTTTCCTTTGGAAGCATAAATCACTTTATAAACTCCCCTCCCCCCCAAAAAAATGTTTACACTAGTATTATAGTACAGTATGCCAGGGAGTGAAAGTCATTTATCCACCACTTAAAAGAATCCACATCTGGGAGGGCTAAAATTCAGAAGTGGCATTTCCCCACAGTTTGGGACAGGAAGGGAGAAATGTCTTTCTCAGAGTGAAACCACATTATGTCCATGTTAAGGAAGAGCATTAATTGTACTGACATATTTCCAGGACATCAAAATGAACACCCACTACAGAACTGACCATCACAAAGCCCCTTTTTTTAAGTTTCACACAAAAAAATGCTCTCTCAGGCAATGTGTTACCACCTTGGACAGGCTGTGTGGAGTCAGAGACTAGAGCAGAGTCTGCTCAACCTCCTGCATTACAACACACACCAGAGATCTACTGATTTGGAGACTGAAAATGACTGATTATGTTTGGGGGTTGTATATGCCAGTAAATCAACAATTCCAGGAATTGTTCCTGAAAACTTCAATGGTCTTTTTTTCCACAAGAGTTATATTCTAGTATTATGAAATACTTCAACAGATTCTTACGTGGTGTGAGCACAAAATCCTTAATCTGGAGCTCATTTTTTTAAACTGAGAATCTGATCCTCTCTGACATGAGAAGCTGAATTGCCTGGGATCAATGGTATGGAAATCAGCAGGATATTCTTGTTATCTTTCAGTAGAACTGAGAGCCATCTAAATAGTAAATGGTTTTGACAAGAGCAGCATTTTAGCAAAGGTAGAATGGTAAGTGAAACACTTAGTTTTACATGGAAGAAGTTTTATAAAAAAAAAAATCATACCTAAAATTTGACACATTGAATATAAATGGGTATAATAATTCTGGTCTAGAAACAATATCACTGCAAGGTGTTGTGCATGGACCCTTAAATCCCAGGCATTTGCATTAGACTTACAGTTCTATGATCCTATCACCTACATTTGACAGTTAATGCTGTTTCTGAAATTTCCAGGTTTTTGTGACCTCATCTTTGCCTGAAACTTGGCCAAATGCTGCCTCGTTCCTAAACTACCTGGAAGGCAGTGTCTTCTGATCTCTAGCTTAGATCTTAGAGCTTGAAGGATATTTTGTACAGAAAAAGAAAACTTTTTCTTCCTCTGTGAAGACAGTTTTCCATAATCATAATGTTAAATTCAGTGCTTGTGAATAATACACAAAATCCAAATATCAGGAAAAGAGCAATACTGGTAACAGAAATCAGGGGTTGAGCCAAAACTGCTGGATGGTCACCTTTGGAATAATGCAGACAGGTGCAATTAGCTTTCAACGCAGTCACTTGGCTGCAAGTCTGTAAAAATGCAGATCTCTGCTTTAAGGACAGAAGATGACATGCATCATCCCATCTTTAACAAGCTGGAACATATTGACGGGATCAGATACACAAGAAAATTGCCTTAGAGCTGCATGGAATGCTTAGCAGGGGAGGTGAAGGTTACCAATAGTTGTGATTGTGCTATTCCAGTCTGGAAACACATCTGTGTGACTACTGCTCTAAGCACTGACTTCCTTTCCCTTCTGAAATTAGGTAGCACATTTGACAGGTTAGATTTGGGAACACGTGATATCATTCCTGACATGCTTTCCACAAGGCCAAGCAGTCTGCAGGGATATTCATGGAGGTTTTCATCACTTCAGTGCAAGAATATATGAAGAGAGATTTTATCTGTGAGAGCTCTCCACACCTTACATGGTGCCCTGTATAGCTAAATGTGTTCAGGTATTTGTTACTCAAAAAGAGAATATGAGGAGACCAATGCAAAAGTGTTGTAGGCATCATTGAAACCTCATTATAAAGCTCCTCTGAGTACATGCAGATCTTGAGTCTGTCTTAAAACTTGTGAGATACATTTATACACAAGCTAGTTTGGGGAATCTCTCCTATTATTTGTGATAAGTGGCCTTGCTTCATAGAAAGTTTTTTAAAAAATTAGGAAAAAAGGTGCATTAAAATATCTTTTTCTCTGTAGTGCTACTCTTGAAATCATCTTCCTGTTTGGTGTAGATAAGCCAAGATTTTTTCTGCTCTGACAGGAAAAGAGAAATCATCTTCATAGTATCATTTCTTAGTAATTCCATATTCTTTTGAACTGGTATTTTAGACAAGATGTTCTCTATTACTGTCCTGCCTCTAGTAGTAATTTATTTGATGCTTCAGAGGGATTCTCCTGCAAAGGGCATTAACAGAAAAATGTGTCCATAATGTGGATGTATTCCAGTTCAGATGAGCTTATGTCTTGTGAAGCCTGACAGTGAACACTGACCTTTGCTGTGTTCCTGTTAGACAACTTGCACACCCAACTGCAAGTCATGTGGTGACTCAGTGACACCATAATGCCAAGACTTAATGGCATTTCTTATATTTAGCTGTAGAAAGACTTAGCAGCCAAACAAATACAGCAATACTCACACCTTCCATAGCACTCCTCAGTAGGAGCTTCCAGCTCTTTGATCTGTTGTCCCCTCTTAATGCAGGTTGTGCCTTTTGTCTGTGGAAAATGTTTCAGCCCAGTTGTAGTCACTAGAGCTATGAGACTTTCTAACACCATCAAAGTTGTTTCCTTACATCACATTTAATAGGAGGATATATTCTCAATACTGGGACAACTGGATGACTCATGCTTTGTCAGTGCTATGTATTTGTGGTAATTTATCATTAGTAGGCTTTATAGAAACTAGGAGCTCTCTTAAACCAACTTGAAAGGAGAATCAGAGATCCCCCTCAAAGGAGATTAAAGAGATCAAGAGTACAATTCAGTGTACTCACGTTAAGATCAACATTTCAGAACAGAAGAATAGCATTTTGCACCAGAGCCATGCAAGCAGCAGTTAAAATGAAGCCAAGGTTCAGCTGCAGTAGGAAGATGTAAACACAGAGTGTAATATAGTCCCGTTAAATGGTAGCTGTAATTTAGTAGGCTGGAGTCGTGCTGGGATAACAGGGCTGAGAAAGCTTCTGCCTCTCTCTGCTCAGCTGATTTGTTTGGAGTTTGATCTAATTCCTCTGATGAAAGGCAAGCAGCACTGATGCAGAACATCCACATCCATGTGGGGCTGCACAGTAGCTGAAACAGTAAACATTGCACTACTTAGAATGTTAACTTTTTTTTTTTTTTTTTAAATAGAAAGCTTTAACCCTGGAGGAGACCCTGGAATGATTTGATTGAAACTGTATGAAAATGCCTTTTTTTTTTTTTTTTTTGTTTTGTTTTTTTATTTGCATTTCCCCCTTTTCCATATCAAAAAGTTCTTGATTATGATGATTACACATTGAAATTTCTTTCCCTTGCATAAAACTACTCATCACTTCATGGAACAAACACAAGTGAAAGGTTTGAAGGACAGCTATGGGATTAAACCACACCAGTCTCATGGGATATGTGTGGCTAAATGTGTTTACTCACCTTACTCAGGCTGCCTTTGTGCCTTGAAAGTTTCTCTTTTTTTTTTTTTTGGTTCTCAGTTTAGTCTAATAAAAGCAGTTCTTTCTCCCTGAAAATGTCACCCCTTTTTATACCATTATGGTGGGGGGATCTCAACTGCAGAAATGATGTTATTCACTGTGGTGTGAATCCTGCTTCACCCTTCCCTTCTTGCTGCTGTCTCTGTATTTGCTTTAAGAAGCACTTAGCAGTTTGCAGTGTCACACCTAATACAAAACTAGTTTTTGGGAGCTCAGGGGTTTAAACTAGGGTTATCTTGGGATAGTAATGACTTTGTATGTGCAGTCTAGAGAACAGACCTGAAATCTTGGCAACTGTGATTTTAGAAGTGCTGTACCAAAAAAAAAACCCCAACGAAACACCTTAAAAAAACTCCAGCATAACTCAGGTGTTTCTTGAGAGTTTAAAGCCCTTCAACAGATTAAGTTATTTCTTTTCTTCTTGTCCCGTAAACCATGGCCCATAATTGCTCTGTTTAAGTTCAGGACAGTGAACTGCAACTTCAAACTATCCCTTCATAGTGTGCTGGAGGATTAAAACCAAAATAGGATCTCAGCAGGGATCTGAGCTTGGAGGCCAGTTCCAGTGAAGGAACTTGCTCTGTTTTGCCCCAGCGAAAGCTCTATATTCTCCTTCTTCCCTTTTGGGTTTGCTGGTGTGAGAATCTTTGTCCTAGAGGTGTACAATATTATACTGGGTAGTTGTTTTTAAGGGAATATTTTTAAAAACTCAGAAAAATGCTAAATTAAGGCAGATACATATTGGAATCTTACATTTATCTTTGAGACCTACTGGTTAGTTACCTACTTGGTCCATCAGTAAGTCTCCTTGATGGATTGGATGAATATCCCAGCTGACTATCTACCATTAGGGCCTCAGAGCTGCAATGTTGAAAGCTGCTAAAACCAGAAGATATTTAACTCTCCTGTTTTGTGTTTTTGTGTTGTTTTTAATTCTTCTGTTAGGTGCAAACCACAGAATGAAAAACGATTCACAAGGGACTTCAGGAAGCTCTTGTGAGCAGAGCTCTCACAAAGCAAAGACCAGCAGAAGCTTTAATCCTCCTGGTGTGAGAGAGAACACTGGACTAGAGCTCCCGGTAAACAGGATAATCGACGTGGACGGAGTCAAACTGGAAGACTCTGGCACACGCTCCTGTGACGATTCTGAAGGGAACCTCAGCTTTGAGGGTTACATCTCTGAACTGAGATCTTGCCAAGGGAGGATGAGGACTGGAGTCTATAGGACATCAGACCTTCCATCTTTGATTGCTGTCAAGAGCGAGAAGAATAAGGGCACTGAGAATCAGTATAAAGCTACTTTTGTTTAAAGATCTGGTTTTAATTAAATGTTCTGATATTTTTGCTTGGCATCAGCAGCAATGGAGATATGCCTCAGAGACATGTTTCTGCAAGCTATAAGTGGTTTTCAATACCCAGTTGCCTCCAGTGAGCCTGCCAGACCATCACTTCTGATATGAGTTAGAAGCCCTAGAATGAAGAAATTTTATTTTGTGCTATTTGGTTTTGTTCTTTTACCATTTCTATATTATTTTCTCTGGGATGATTCTACTGCACAGTGCAATTAAAATTATGATTTCCACCCCTACCCTTCTTGTCCTTATCCAAGACAAACTTACTTTAAATTCCCCTGTCCAAACTTTTTGTTTAAGATAATTTCAGTTTAATCTTCTAATGTTTTTCCCTGGTCTGGAAGATTCCCTGTGTGCTAGTAGGTTTTTGAAGTGTAAGTAAAATCAGATACTGGTGTAAAAAGATTAGGAATGCTAATTCACAATGCTCGGGAAGAAGTCCAAGTGGAATTCAGTCTTGTCTAAAGCATTGCCTGGATATATGCAATAAGACCTTTATTGATCAAGCAATAAGAGGCAAAAAACCCACCCCAAACTGTGAATTTTCTGTGCTGGGAATAATAGCTGCTCTCGTAGCCAGTGCTGGTGTATATCTAGTTACATAGTTGTGTGAGGGTCGTCAGGTCCCTTCTCATCACTGCTCTGGATGCCTTTTAGCTTTGGGGGGAGGCAATTTTGTTCTTGCTGTTTTGATAAGTGGTTCAGTGCCCCTTGTTCATTTTAGCTTCAGTTAATTTTCTAGCCTTGGGTGGAGTTTTGGGAAAGAAAAGGTACTTAAGGCTGCTAAATATGTTTCTTTTGCTGCCCACTCCTTTTCCTCTACCATTTCATCAAAGAGGTTGTGAGCCTGGTCAAGCAAAAGAGTATATGGAGAAATGAGAGCATTGGACATCTGCTCTCCATATCATATGGAGTGATATACTGAGACTTCTGGTTGTTCACTGCTTTGAAACAATTGTGAGACTTAAACAGTCATGCTGAATAGCTGCTGAACTGCAGATCCACACAGGCAATAGGTCGAAAGCATCACAGTAATTATTAACTTTTCTTTCTTTGCTCCTAAAGCATTCCAAGAATCATGAATTTTCTGAATAGCCAGGAGTACTGGAGGCTGTCGTTCAGTTTCTTAAACTCAAATCTGTAAGGTGAGAAAGAGGGTACATTTGATTTTGTAATTGTAAATTAAGATTCCTAAAGCTTACACTTAATGCTTAAGCTTTACAGCAACTGCTCCAGCGATATAAAGGGACACAACTCCCATTAGCTTTAATCCTGTAACTCTTTCCTACTGGTAAGTGATTTTGCTTTTGATATTGAGGAAAACCCCTGTTAACATGAGGTTGAACTTAGTGTGGGCCTGAATGAGGATATGCTGTGAAAATAGCTGTTCTTTTTAAAACTTTGAAGATTTAAACTAATTCAAGAGTCACGATAAAAATCATGGTGGTGTAATGATACTAGGGATATACAGCAGGTAGAATGTGGCAAAACAGTCTTAACCCAATGATGTGAAAATATTTAAATTGTGTTTTTAAAGCTTTTTTTATTTTTGTTATTGTTGTTGGTGATGTAGAGGTTTATGGTAGTATATTGCTAATTATTGCCCATGAGAGGATATTTCTTTGCACAAATAAAAGGCCACAAGTTTTTCCTATCTTCTGAAAAATTAATAGCTTTGTTCTAATCAAGATCAACATTACCACAGTCAAACTCAAGAAAAGGCTTTTTGACCTGTGATATGCTTTGCACTGTTTTTGTGTCTTGGAAAATAAAATCCTAACATCAGGCAGGTAAAAACTTGACATTCAAATACAATCATTACAGTCTTTATTATTCTGTGATCAGTATTTAGATGAAACAAAGTTGCTTATCTGACATTGTGCAGTTGTGCTTAAGTGACTGGTAGTGAACAATACAGAATTTTTCAGCTGGAAAAAGACACAGCTGAGGGGAGATGCAATAACAGCTGAAAAACCTTGAGTGCCATGAAAAGGGTGAATAGGGATTGACTTTCACACCTTTTTCTAATGCAAGCCAGGTATAAATCAAAGAGCTGGTTCTTCACCTTCTCCTGTTTTCTTTCTACAAGCTGCTGTACTCAGAAAGAACAGCAAACAAAAATGCTGTTCATAAATTTCGACTGCAACAAACTGGATTTGACAGTATCAAGGATTCAAAGAGACTTCAACAGCATGGGAGTCAAGCTGTGTGCAGGAAAATGAAAGAATGGAGTTTTCTTTAGCAGAGAGAAAAATCTTGGCATAATGCCTGGAAATCCTGTAAACAAAGGGACATGGGAAAAGCCACATTGTCATGCCAGATATTGGCAGATTGTTTAAAAGAAAGATTTCTTAGCTAGGACTAGTGGAAATTAATTCCTTCAACTTAGAAATAATTAATAATATTAGCTTTCCTATTCAATATCTGGCAGAATATAAAAACTAAGCCTGCTAGAATCAGGACTTAAATGAAAAGGAATGTGGACAGCCTGGCTCTGGCTGATGGTTTCCAATGTTTTACTAGGGATGTGGTCTAGTTTTAATTACTGTGTGACTTCAACATTGTAATATAATTTTAAGTTGCCTCATCATACTGTGATTTCCAGTACTAATCAAATCTACTTGCAATTAAAAAGCAGCCTAATTGAAGCCCTGCTTGATAGCTTGATCCTTTCTCTTGCCAGCTAGTTCCTAAAGATAATCAGATTTTATGTGCCTTTATTTCTCTTTACTTTTCCCAGCTTTTCCCTGTTGAAACTCCACTTGTGCAGAGTTAACTCTTATGTCTCCCTAATCCCGTGATGGCAAATAAAAGTCTTTCCATACTCTTAGGTGAAAAAGGGACACCCACTGACCTGTGTCAGTACTCAAACCTGGAACTGTAACAACCAGTGATATAAAAAACCCCAAACTCGACACTTAAAAAATCCTGCAGCATTCTAAATCTTATATTAAATAACAGTTGTCTTACATTTCACTTGTTGTCATGGTATCTGATATTCAGAGGTAGTGGTTTCAGCCTCATCAGCTCCACAAGTCAGTTTTGTTGTATTTTAGTTTTAAAGGCTTGTGAAAAATAGAAAATATACTATAGGCAAACTTGCAATGAGATTTCCCCTGCAGGATTACTGTAGCTGTGTAGCCTTGTCAACAAATTGGTGATACAACACACAGGCAAAATAAATGGCTGTGCAGTTTAGCTCTGGGGGACTGACTGCGTGACAAAGAACCAAAGGGTTGAGAAGACAAATAAACAGGCTCTGCAAAGAGACTTTACAAGAGCTTTACTGCTCCGTGGGAAGGAGCCAATACCTGGCGGTTCCATGTCCTTTCTCATGCCCCTGAAAGTCTTCTGGGGGCTATTTAATGTCATTCAAGGATTCTGGGTCCTTTGGGCGCTACTTATCTTCCTGAAAGTTTTGGCTTCTTTGTGCCTTTGCTGTAGTATGCATTGCTTTATTCCTGCTTCTCTTGTGATGCTGGAATTTACTGCTCTTAACAGAAAACTTCTAAAAGACTACTCAGCCAGTAGCCTCCTTGTCTTCTTGGAGCAGAGATAACCAGGACGTGTGAGTACATTTGATTTTTTAGAAGTAGCTTGATTTTTGCCACAAAACTGAAATCCTTGCCAGTAGTTGTTTCTTGGTAGTGGTGCTGCTGCTCATCCCAGACCTCTCCAACACTGAATCGATAGCTGTCATTTAAAATGTCTCTCCTAAGGTACTTGGTAGCTGGGAGACCAGGTGAGTGTGTGGTAGTGTGATGCAAACACCTGAAGGCATCTTTTCACAATTTCCCTAAGATTTTGAAAAGTTTCCAAAGGCTCAGTTAGACAAAGGCCACGGCCCAACGGCAGGTACTTACTGAGAGGTGTGAGAAGCCAAAACCGTTGCAAGTCTGAGGCACTCCTGACTCCCAACCACAGCTCATTGTCTTGGGTTTAGAAACCACCGTATTTTCTGCTTAACAGGCAAATTTCCAAGTTTTGTGGGATTGTAGCAATGGTCTGTGACAACAGTGTTGCTCTGTGGATAGCGTGGGTGTTCACCCTGCAGCAAAACCGAGTGGCACATCCAAGCACTTCTCTATGTGCTCTTGGAACAGCATCCCAAGCCTTTAGCATCATGGGGTACTGAACAAGCATGACATTCATGACCCCTAATCCAATGCCAATTAGAACACAGGAAAAGCTTTCATTGATCTTACTGGAACATTTCCTTGCTGTAGACCAACTGTCACTTTTAGACAGGTTCCTCTTGATTTTTTTTCAGAAAAAAGAACTCTGCTGAGAAGTGCTGGATGATCAGGTGTCTGCAAATCTTGCCTGCATTACTCAAAACGTTAGCAAATCCAAGATGTTGCACATGATCCAACATGCTGTCTGAATTTTTTGTGTGAAAGATAAGAAAATTGTTTATATTTTTTTGTCCCTACTGTTCATTCTGTTGTACAGCCTAAAATGTTGATGTACAGAATTTGATTTGTATTCTTGTTATAATTGTGGTTTTGTCTTTAAATGTCTATATGATCACTGTCTAATATGAAAACGCACATTGGATTTATTTCTCATGCCTTGTCTTCCCAAAGCATTAAGAAATCCTGTACTGCACAATAATGTTTATAGAATCTTAAGTGCATCAGGCTCATTAAAAATGTTAATTGTGTATGTAGTAAGTAAATAATGCTTACCACTGGAACTGGTAATGTTTCATTGGTATCTAATTTCAATGTAGGGTGAAAAATAGTTTTTTCAGTTATTTTGGGACCTGTTGCCATTTGGACATCACAGTTTAAATGGAAGTATGAAACAACGTGAAACTTGCCTGCATTTTATTAGATTCTGCAAAGATGTCTTCTTAAACCTACCCTACATAAAGAAATTCCTTCACAAGAAGATTGTTAAGAATTTCTGCCAAATATTTATATACCTTAAAAATATCTCATCCTCTGGAATTTAATAATAGTAGGGTATGATTTTAGCCTTTAATTAATTCCTTTTGCTCTATTCTAGCAAGACAAAGGGATTGCAAGCCTGAATAGCCAAATGTTTTCCAAGTACAGTGTAATCCTCCTCTGGTTTCTCTTCTGCATAATCTTGGTGGGTTGTCTA